AGTCGAGTCACCTTTTTACGTGTCATCCAGGGGTCGCTCCTTGCTCGAGTGACTGAAAATTGAGCCGAAGTCACAGAAGAAGAAAAAAGAAACAACAGCGCTAATATGGCGGACTCGAGCGTTGAAGCTAAGCTGAAAGATGCATTTTATAGTGTGGATGGGACAAAGCTGAATAAGGACTTTGCAGTATGTAAGAAGTGTCTAACGAAAATACGATACACAGGCGGCACGACAAACATGCACAGCCACCTCGTTCGCCACCACCCTGAGCTCGCGGAGAAAACTGTGCCTACTAGCTCATCGGCACAGCCAAGTGTTAACTCTTTTTTTCAGGCAAAGCTGCCTTTTAATTCACTCAGGGCAACAACAATTACACATGCCATTTCTGTGTTTATTTGTAAGGACCTTCGTCCGTACAGCGTTGTGGAAAAAAAAGAAGAAAGAAAAGAAGAAGAACTTCATGATGCGGGTTCTTGAGCCGAGGTACGAAATGCCCAGCCGTAAACATTTCACTGAAAAAACTGTTCCAGCACTTTATCAGGAAGCCAAAGCTAAAGTGGAGAGTGCACTCGAATCTACATACGTATGAGTTCAGAGCCAATATGGCTGCTACGTGCATCAAGAAGGATGTTTAAGCTGTAACTGTTGAGTTTGTTAGCAGAAGGGCTGCACGATATTGGGAAAAAATGACATTACAATATTTTTGTTTCCTGCGTTCTCAGTTTCTAAATGGTGATAAACTCATTAATGATCCATATGAAATCTCTTGTGGCTTTACTAACTTTTTTGCAAATATAGGTGCTTCTCTCTCAAATGAAATTAATAACACGGTAGGCAGCCCTTTAGATTACTTAGAAAAAAGTTATGGCTGTATCTCAAATTTTGATCCCCCACAGTAAAGGAAGTACGTGACATCATTAAAAATCTAAACAAATACCTCAGCTGGCCATGATGAAATTGGTAGTTTCTTAATTAAGGAAATATCAGATTACATATTGGAACCTCTCACTCATACCCTGGGCCGATCTCTGGCCACTGGTGTTGTCCCAAAAGAGCTTAAAAGAGTAAAAATTATACCACTGTTTAAAACTGGTGATCAAAGAAATGTTTCAAATTATCGTCATATCCATTTTACCTTGTTTCTCAAAAATTCTCAAGAAGTTAATTTACTCAAGAATAGTTACGCATTTACATGAAAATAACATCTTATATGAACATCAATATGGATTTAGAAAGGACAGTTCTACCTACAGTATATGGCACTTTTACAGCTTGTAGACAAAATACAGGCAGCTACAAATAATAATAAATACGCACTTGGCATTTTTTAGACTTGTCTAAAGCATTTGACTCTGTCAATCACGATATTTTATTTGCTAAAATACGACATTATGGTCTTCAAGGTGACACACTGAAGTGGTTGACTAATTATATGAGTGAGAGAGAACAGTATGTGGTAATCAATGGTTGTGCTTCAAGCACTCTTAATATAACATGTGGAGTACCACAAGGATCTGTTTTAGGACCTTTGTTATTTCTTATTTATATTAATTACTTCCATTTAGCTTGCAAACTTTCTTCTTCTATTCTTTTTGCTGATGATACCAACATGACAGTGACTTACACACCCTCATAAATAATACAAATGAAGAATTGGTGAGTGCTGCAAAATGGTTTAAACTTAATAAGCTTTCATTAAATAGTAAAAAGTCGAAGTAAAGGAAGTAGGTATCAAAAGGATTATGCTAAAGTTTCAATAGATGGAAATTAAATTTCTCAAGTGTCACAAACTCAAGTTTTAGGAATCCTTGTGGATGAGAAATTAAATTGGAAAAATCATATTAAATTTACTCAGAAAAAAATTGTGAAGTCCTTCGGGATCATCAGCAAACTTTGTAGTTTTATTCATTTATCTTGTATGTTAACCTTATATTACTCTATGGTTTATTCGTATTTGATTTATGGTAATAGTGTTTGGGCAAACACTTAACCCGCTCACCTTCTTAAACTTTATATGTTGCAGAAACGTTTTGTAAGATTGGCAAATTTCTCCAACGCAACAGAAACATCTGCCCCCCTCTTCAAAAAACTAAACATTCTTTCAGTTTTTGATACCAATATACATCAGATATGTGTGTTTATATATAAATATATGTTCGTACCTTTTTCTTTACCATTATCATTTCAACATTTTTTTTAACTGAATTCCCAGATTCATTCATATTCTACCAGACAGATTGATCATCTTCATCTTCCTTTTTATGAAACCAAACACGGTCAGTTTTCCATCAGATATCGTGGGGTACAAATATGGAATTCCAAAAGACACGTTGTTAACTGCTCTTCGTCTACAGAGATTTTTAAAGATCAAACTTTTGCATATATAATTTTTTTTTTTTTTTTCATCAACTCACTCATTTCACTCCCTTTTTAATAGATTAATGCCTGTTTCATTTAGCTGATAGAGGGTTAACATTTTCAGTCTTTCTATTGTATGTATTTATCTAAGTGTGTGTGTATGAATACGTGTATAGGTTACTGTATATGTGTTTATATTTAATTTTGTTTTGAAATTGTGTAATTCGATTTGTTTAGTTGATTTATTTGTCTCTTAAGAGGTGAGGTCCCTTGTATAAGCCTGTTGGCTTCTTGACCTCTCCTGACTCACCTTTTATGTTTTTGTTAATCCTATTTTGATGTATTCTTACACACAGCAGGAGCACGCACATAGATACAGGCTGAGCAGACGCACAATGGCTCACAGTTTGTCCTCCCTCCTGCATTTTGCCTTTTTTGTAGGCTTGAGTAATCAGTTGCCAGAGATGTGAATCAATGAAAAGTAATGTTTAGAGACATTTCTAGAACAAGCACAATGCATTTTGTGAAGATGGTCCGTCTTGGAAAGAGAAAAAGGGCGATTTCTGCAGGAAGGAAAGTAAACTTTAAGTAATTAATTACTTCGACATTAAACTACGACCGTTTCAAGTTTTATGGCAGCTCATGAAATCGTAAGGCGTGGGAAGGAGGATGTGAAATAAACAATAAAATGGGCTATCAGAAGATCGATACTTAGACCTCAAAAACAAAACTGAGAGCCAGTTCTGACTGAAGACAAAGTTGAACGCACAGATCTGGAGGCCGCTGCCTTTAACCCTGTTTGTTTAATAAGTGTTAAATATAGCCCTTTATGTGATGTTAACTATAAGCAAACTGTCAGATTGTCAATATCCCTGCTCCTTTCTGTTGATATTCACCGACGGATTTTTTTTTTCTTCACATCGCATGTCCTTGCGGTGTGACTATTGCGCATGCACAGATCGCGATGACGATGCTGAAACGATATATTGTGCAGCCCTAATTAGCAGCTTAGTCTTCTTTTTGTGTAATTAAATCAATCAAACTGATGATATCGTGTAGGGATGGGACGGTTCAAAACATAAATCCGGACGGTTCGGTTGCAGAGCCACGGTTCGGGGCAGTGGAATCAATGATGGTTAGCTAGCTTGGGATGAAAGTGGGTGTATATCGGGCCCTTCAGACAGGATGCAGTCGGCGTTGTGCTGTGTTCATGTGTTGGCCGGCGCCAGAGAGTATCTGCGCTGAGCTGAAGTTCTGGTGAGGACTGTTTTTAGTGAATTTAGGAATCTGACCAACCAATACAAATTAATTTTAAATTATTTTATTATTGATGCCCTAGTTTTTAAAATACCTTTTCATTGACCATGGCATCAGTTAACTGAATTCTAGAACCCGACCAAGTGATCAGCAAGCCGATATTGACTATTGGTAGCGGCTAATTTCATCACAGATATCGATTATGTGCCGATATTACCAGATTTATGCACCAGTCAAATAGCATTTAATTTGAGTGTTAGTGAATCACACTAGCATTTCTCTTTCTGGCTTTTAACAAACATTATCACTCCACAGAGAATGAAGCAGTGAAGCCCTTACATCCTTATATTGTGCAGCGTTTATTTCACCAAGTATCCCACATTGTAGAAAGTTTCCTATCTGCAGTAGCTAGGACATTGGGGAACTTCTTGCAGTTTGGGGGGCTAGCCTGGGGTGTCCTGGAAAGTTAAGAGTTTCCAAACAGGAAATCCTTCCAGAACTGAAAGCTTTAGGAACACATTTCACAGTCAACCACACTGTGACACAGGCTTTGTAAAATATCTGTATCTCCCCATGATTCATAATTTAATTTTAGAGCTTGAATATTTAATCTTTTGTCTGAGAAATTTGAAAGATGTGTTGGGAATCCAATTCTACAAGTATACATATTAGAGCTAGGTATTGTCCACACCCTCTCAATTCAATTTGATTTAAATTCTTTGGGTTATGATTCGATTCAATATCAATTTGATATTGATCAATATGCTTCGATATCGATTTAATAATACACATAGATGACAGGAATACCCAGACAACTCATCACAGTACCTTCTGATATTTGTTAAATAATGATGTGTGCGTCGTTTGTATAGCTTTAGAACAAACTGACTCAAAAATGTATTTTATCGTTGAATTATTCTTTAATAAACAAATAAAACATTAAAGTACAAAAGTGCACATTTGTGCCTGAGCTGAATTCAAAGCACCCAGAGTGCCCCCAGTGGAGAGGGGCGTCATTACAATGAAAAAATCGATCTCAGGATTTCCCTGAATCGACAATGAATTGGGAAAAATAAAAATTACAATGCATTGATGAATCGATATTTTTAACCAGCCCAAATAAATATTGGTTTGATTAAACTTCAACTGTATAATGATTTTCAATGATACAAACAATGTTGTTATAATTTTGCTGATTGAAGGTAGAAAAACATAAAACTTATGACAGTGGGATAAAAGATGACTTTTAAATATTTGTAAAATTCATCAGTCATTACATTCTATTGCTCATTGTTTTTTGTTTCTTAATCAAACCAAATAATGAAAATACACTCCAAAAGCTATACAAATAAAATATCTCAGTCATTATTCAGAGACATCCATGTTCACTTATTCAGAGAAACTAGAGTGAACAAAGTTTTGAGGTGTTTATTAATTTGTTTCATTTTGAGTCCATATATGAGCGGATTAAAGAGAGGATGGTACAAAACTATTTGTAAAGTCATAATCAGACTTGCAGTTTTTGGAATATCTGATTCAAGTCTCAGTATGATGATATTGTACGTGCACAACAAAGAAAAGTTGATCAAAACCAGCATGTGGGGTAAACAGGTCTGTGCAGCTTTTCTCCTGTCTGCCCTAGTATGTCTATGAGTTAGAATTAGTATCTTTGCATACGTGAAAACGATGAAGAGTATAGGAAAAAATACAATATTCAGCAAAGCAATCACACCATACACAGAAAGTAGTTTGGAGCTGACACAGTGAAGCTCGTAAATAGAATTGTTGCAAAAGATTCCTTTCAAAGTAAAGTTACAGATTGTTCTTTTAGAACTGAATGAAGTCAACCCAGCTATCTGACAAGCGGGCAAAAGCCAAGCCAAAACTAAGAAAACACTTACAGTTGACTTATTCATGATATTGGGATAATGGAAAGGTTTACATATAGACACATATCTGTCGTAGGCCATGGCTGACAACAGAAAGAACTCTGACCCACCTAAAGAATAAAACATGAAGAATTGAAAGTGGCACATTGAATGTGTTATGGTCTGTTTCTCAGATAAGAAGTCAACCAGCAGCTTTGGGTAGATCGCAGAGCTGAAGAGAACAGAGTTGATTAGTAAAGCTGCGATGAAAATGTACATCGGTTCATGTAAGTTTTGGTGAATCCCTATGAGGCATACAATAGTGGAATTACAGCAGATGATTAAAACATATACTATAAAAATAATCACAAAATAAAGGTATCTGTATTTCTCCACCTCTACATACCCACCCAGAGAAATATATGTCACATTCAGTTCTTTATCCATTAAGACAGACACAAATGAGATATAGAAGCCTGACTTGGATAAAACATGTGCCATACAATCTGTTGAATTATCTTAATGTTGCTTTTAAAATGTTGATGATGTCGAAGATGTTCATTACTTTAATTGCTGTTTTCAGAAAGTTGCCGGTTGGAGTGTGGGTAATGTTTTTATCAGACAACTTTAATCTCCCTGGATCTCATTAAAACTTTCTGCTGACATGTTGGAAAAGAGTCCTTGACCTCGTGTTTGTGTCTCTTGATTGGATGGTGTGTCTGTGTAACTCCTCTAACAGAAGACTCAGGATCAAATATTCTACGTATCAATAGCAAATGATCTCTAAATGAAGAGTTTCAGAATGTTAGAGTTTCAGTTGTTACTCAAATCTTGAGATAAAAAATACTGAGATCTCAGGAAAAACTAAAGTGCAAATAAAAATAAAAATCCTTTCAGTCAGACTCCATATGTGCTTCCTACCGCCCTTTGGAAGAGCACATTATCTGCAGATCAGCATCCAGATGAGACGACAGCACCCTCAAGCAGCAAAGACCTGGATGGCGGCTGCATCCTGGCGCTCTCTCGTCTCATGTGCTCTGGCGCCGGCAAGTGCGCTGGGTCAAGAAGCAGTTTTACGAACTTGCGCATTAATTAATATTTACAGTCTATGATTACGTCAAATCAAGTCAAGTCAACTTTATTTATATAGCACATTTATAACAGCTGAGGCGGACCAAAGTGCTGTACAGTAAATTAGGCAAAATACATTACATCCAAAACATCATAAAGACACGTAAAAACAAAAATTAACTAATTAAAACACAAAACTATAGTAAAAGTTCTAGTAGACACTGCTGCTGGGATAAAACACTCAACTAGAGATAAAAGCCAAGGAAATCCATTAATTCAAACATTACCACCGCACCAAAAGATGATAAGAGTGAAGTAGATGGAGTCACACGCCCGAGTTTTACAAGAAGCCCAAATGAATGAATGAAAAGATGTTCAAATGAGTCACGCAGAGGAGAGAGTTAGAGTGACGTTTGTTTATCAACAGCTGAACCGACGCTGCTGATTCAGCTGTGATTATATATAACTCATAAACCACATATACCCTCCTACGATCTGGCGTCCACATATGTGGACGTGGGTTGTCTAGACCACAATATTAAATTTTGCTCTACAAGGGCCTGGGTTCCACATACAAGGACTTTATACTGCCACTTAGTGGTGTCAGAAGAGTATAACACATTATACATTAGATTCAAGATGGCCGACAACACACCCCGAAGTTCAGATGGCAACTCCCGATCCAAACTTCGACCAGGTAAAAAATTCAAACAAATTTCATGGCTGATTCTTGTTCAGATATGTATAAAAGTGTTCAATGTTTGTTATGGAATGAAAATTTTACAAAAGTTAGTAACTGTAACGATTTACCATGCCGCTAAACATGATGTCCACGTATGTGGACAGAGGGACATAGTTTTGTAAGTTTTGTTGAAAATGTTTATATGTGATCATAAATGCTAGCAACAAAACATGAGAATGAAATAGTATTTTGGGATGATTTTGGTAGAAAACAATAGTTTACTACAGTACAAGCAGATGTAGCATGTTTTATAAATAAATCTACACCGATTTCTATTTGATTTTTCTCATGACATTTTTTTCCAGAGCGTTATTCTCTGTCAAGAGTAATGGAGTTATTGGGGTTAATTGGTGGAGACAACTCAGAGGTGGAAGATTTGTCAGACATCGATGATCCCGTAGGGGATGCTGAATATCAACCCCCACGACAGGAGCCAAGCACCAGTGAGGAGGACAATAGTGGATGTGAGGGCCCCATTCCTCAGCCCTCTCAGCCTATCAGGGGACGTAAACGTCTCGTGATGAAAATGAATGATATCGTTCAGATCGTGACAGATCACGCACTCCCAGACGTCGCTCTCAGACACAGCAGGATGAGGCCGATGTCTCAAACAATGTCCCTGAAGAGACAACACCAGGACCAAGCCATCAAGAACAGTCCAAGAAAGGGTGTGGGATGCGATGGAGGGCTTCTCCGCTCACACCAAATCAAGCCCAGTTTGAGCATGAGGAGGAAACTGTGCAGGACAGAGCGGGCTGGACCCCACTGGACTACATAGAACAGTATATTGATAAAGATTTGATGAAAATGATTGCAGATTGCTCTAATGCTACGTCACTGGCTAGAAGTGGGGACCCACTCATCAACACATCAACTGATGAAATTTATCATTTTTTTGGTGCCTGTATTTTGATGTCTTGCATACTATATCCTGCAATCAGGATGTACTGGTCCAAAGCCTTGAGATTCACTGAAATGTTCACGTGACAGATTCTTCAGGCTGAGGCGATCACTCAAAGTGCTCATTGAGGTTGATGTTCCAGAGAATCTGAGAGAGTGTGATAAATTCTGGAAGGTGAGGCCTTTTCTAAATCGCATTCTGAAAGGCTGCAAATCTCAGGCTCGACCAGAATGCGTTTCCATTGATGAGCAGATGATTCCTTTCACAGGAGCTTGTCCGTGTCGACAATATCTGCCAATGAAACCAAACCCAGTTGGCATGAAAAACTTTGTTTGCGCAACAGCAGATGGTATTGTGCTGGACTTTGACATTTATCAAGGTAGAGATGCACTCCTTGAGCAGGTTGAAGAAATATTGAGATATTAAAATTAACAGTTTAGAACAGTTACAATGCAAAATGTTTAGAATGTTGCTTTGTTACAGACATACGTCTTCCTGCAACTGTTAGCAGCACTTCAAATGAGCCATATTGCTCAAAGGGGCACAATTGTTGTTTCTCATTTTGTTTTTGCATTCAGGAAAAATGCTGCTGTGTTCAGGCACCAAATAAAGAGTTGTGCATATCATTACTCAATTGTGACTTTATTGTGTTCTATCGAAATTTAAAACAAATGTCCTCATATGTGGACATCATTTTTCTCAGAAACTACATCATGTAAAAAGATAATTCTTTGTTTTTACACTCATCAGGTCCCAATCAGCCCAATCAGCAAAGAGAAATTAAAAATGCATGCCATGCAAGAGTTCGGGTCTTAGGAGGATACATATAGAATGGCGAAATTGCTTATTTTTTATTTAGTCTTGAATGTATAAGTACGACGGAGGACTAGGGCCACGTTACATTTTTTTTTTTTTTTTTTTATTTCGAGATTAAAGTCGTAAATTTACGAGTTTAATCTCGAAATTAAAAAAAAATAAATATTTTTTTTAACATGGCCCTAATCCTCCGTCGTATATAAGCACCTAGTATGTTTGTAATATATCACATGTACACTACATATATTTTTATTTCCGGAGCTTTATATTGAAAATTAGAAGCTCGGGGGGCTCGGCTTCACGCACACAGACGACACAGACGAGAGCACACAGGAGAGAGTAGCCAGGCTGCAGCCTTACAGTCTAGGAGTCTCAGGGGGTACCGCTGGCCTGCAGGTGGTACCGCTGGCCTGCAGGTGGTGCATTCACGGAACTTGCGTAAATCTGTGATGCCTTCATGGAACATCTGTAAATATGAAACTACAGAAATAACCTGGGTTACATCTGCATCACATTTTCAGTCTTTAATGAAGTAGTCATGTTATTTAATCTTTGTATTACATCACAATAAAAAACAATTTAACTGGGGTGTTGGTAGCGTAGTGGTTTGTGCGCACACCCATTGAATGGAGGCTGTGGTCCTACGGGCGGGGAGCCCGAGTGCGGATCCGACCTTTGGCTCATTTCCTGCATGTTATACTCCAATCTCTCTGTTCATGATTTCTGACTCTATGCTCTATCCAGTATCCTATCTCTACAATAAATGCATTAATGCCCAAAAATAAATCTTGAAAAAAATTGACTGTCATAGTTTAGCTAGCAGGAATATGGGGATTAAGGACAGATATGTGTGCCTGTACTTCTTCTGGGTAAAGTCATGTGTTCAGTGTCAAAATGTTTTCAATCTGAATTACAGACGAGTCATTATTTGTGTTTTTTGACAGGTAGGAAACCAGACCACCCATTATACAGATAATCCAAAAGGCGAAGTACAGGGAAATGATTAAAACTTGAATTTAGTAAATTGGCCGACCATTTGGGCCCTTTGTCCACTTATGGCACTTTTTGTGCTGGCAACGCCATTGACCTCAGTTCGAGAGCGCGTCTCATCGGTGCGCATTGTTTCTGGCTTACAAACTGTAAACTTTCTGACATAAAGGTTTTCATACCTAAATGAAACTTCTAGGGCTAAAGAGTATAATGGTGCGTTCCAGTTGATCTCGTAAGTGGGAAATTCCCAGTTCCCAGTTGGAAATGTCAACTGGAACGCCCCCTGAAGTCATAATTACGACTCGGAAACTCGGAGTAAAAAAGGTAGCCCGAGTTCTCCCAATAGAGATGGCAGTGGGCCATAGTGACGAGGAGACGGATTATTATTACCAGAGTTACGGACCAGCAAGATTGCTACTTTCCGCAAACTCCCTGAGCTTCTGCAGCCAAGTGGAATCAATGGTTAACTAGTATTTTGGCCTGCTTATTAATGAAGTGTTAGCAAATAACAGTTTGAAATCATTAAAATTAGTGAAAATAAACACAGACAAATGTACCGACTGCAAAGTACAGGCATTAAAGTTTTGTGCGACTGAAAAAATACCACGATTACCTCTTGCAATTGCTGTTTTTATTCTTACTCTCTCAAATGCCTCATCTAAGCTCGCACAGCTCATTTCAAGTACTACAACCCCACAAACCTTCCCCCATCACCATCAGAAGCAGCACTATGGCTGCTGTTTAAACCTCACAAAACTTTTTCCTACAAAATAAAATACAGCCTTCTCCTAAAGTAAAGCTGCTCCATCGTCCCTTCTGGGCCTCCGTACATGTGTGTTGGGGACTGTGTCTGCAGAGACCCTGTCCTCTGACTGGATTTTACTGTTCTGGTTTGTTCTGGTTGACTCGGGATGTTTCTGGGCGGGAAGATGGTGTTCTTCCTCTGGCTAATGACAGCGCAGCAGGTGAGTTTAGCAGTGGATAGAATTCTGTAAATTGAGGCGATTTGTATGGACGAATATGACTGACCTGGACAGTGGCAAAGAAGAGAAAATGTAATCACAGAGTGAGGCGAAAACGATACGTGCATAAAATTCTTCCAAAACGAGGGTGAACCTTGTGTTGGATTTTACCCGAGGACGCGGAGTTGGCTTGCTCTCTGCTGGGAGGGCAGATGACAAACACCGGTTAGCTAGTTATAGCATGGGATAGATTGCGTACACACTACATCCTGGACTGAGTGTGTGTTTCTGGGGGCGATAAGCCCAGAAGGAAGGGCCCAGTCTAAATGTTTCGTTTACAAACCGCAACCAACATTTCTATTGACTCCACCTTAAGCTCATCCTGTGTACTGGATCAAGAGTTGTACCTGTCCAAAAAGTGCTCTTCTATTCCAGTAATATGGGAAAAATAATAATTGAGCTACAAAACTAGAATGGTAAAGACAGACATAACCAACGCTGAATAATATTGACCATATGTCAGGGATAAGGTGCTTCAGATATCACTTAACATAAGATACCAAACATGCAAGATCTTTTTAAGTGTCAATAAACATTGATCCCAGATGACTTCTTACTGACAGCCAGCAATTTCAGTTTGAAAGATTCCACAATGGGGAACATGCTTTTGAAAAAGGAATCAAAGAAACATTGTTTTGACTCCAGAGCGCCTCCTGAGTTCAAAGAAGTTCTTCACATGTTCGGATTAGATTTGATAGACAGTTTTATGAGATCCTGTGGGTGTCAAGAAATCTAATAAAAGACGTCAAACGAACTCCAACAGTTGAATTTGGAGATGGACACACACCAAGTGCAATCCACTTCAGGTACCTTTAAATGAATGAGAAACCTCCGTCACGGTTTAATGTTTGTGTATTTGTTAAAGCAATCTGTCTGCATTAATGGATGATAAGTTTAATGTTACTTACATTACGTTTAATGGGTATGTGGAAGTTCAAAATTACAGATATCTTTATTTCTTTATCATGATAACAGTATATTTTCTAATAATCTTTTATAATTCTACTATAGTGTACCTCATCTGGAAACATAAGAATCTGCATGAGCCCATGTACATTTTTATTGCAGCTTTGCTGATCAACTCTGTTATTCTCAGCAGCGCTGTGTATCCAAAATACTTGATTGACTTTTTATCAGACAGACAGATCATATCTTATTCAGCCTGTCTCTTTCAATTTTTTACATTTTACGCCATAGGCAGTTCAGAGTTTTTACTGTTGTCAGTCATGGCTTATGATAGATATGTGTCTATTTGCAATCCTCTGCAATATCCCTCGATAATGAGGAAAAACACGGTGTGTATTTTCTTGCTTTTAGCTTGGCTTGTGCCAGCTTGTCACATTGCTATCCCAGCCATACTGAGTGCTAAAAGTAAATTGTGCAGCTTTACCTTAAAAGCCATATTTTGTAACAACACGATTTACAGACTTCAATGTGTCAGTTCAAGAGTAATTACAATATATGGCGTGGTTACTTTAGTCGACCTTGCAGTTCTCCCTTTGCTCTTCATAATATTTACCTACGCCAAGATACTTTTTATAACCTATCGAAGTTGTAAAGAAGTGAAGAAGAAAGCTGCAGAAACCTGTTTACCCCATCTGTTAGTTTTAATTAGTTACTCCTGTCTGTGTGCGTATGATATCAGTATAGCACGAGTGGAGTCTAATTTTCCAAAAACTGCACGCTTCATCATGATGTTACAAACAGTTTTTTATAATCCTTTGTTAAACCCTCTCATATACGGGCTCAAAATGAAAGAGATTTCCAAACACCTCAAGAAGTTGTTTCTTCCAGCCAAAACACCTCTTTTTATGAATACTGATCACTAATGCACGGCTGTTTTTTCAGCCATGTTCTTGGAGAAATGTGACTTCTTTAAAGGTATTACATTATATATTTATTGATTTATTAGCTCTAACAATGTGCTAGAGAATAAATGAGCTAACGTTATTCAAAAAATATATTTATATTAAACAATATTAAGCTTTCATTACCTCCAGACTTTCTCTCTGTGTTTCACTCTTACAGTTGTGAATTCATTAAGAACCTGTGTTTCTTGTTAAACATTTACTCTTGGTATATTTATAAAGTTAGAAAAGGGTGAGTCATTAATGTAGGTGCAGGGTAATACAAACAGCAGAGAGAAGAAGAAACGCTCGCACAAAAAGCTTTTAATGAAAACGTTTCAACCAGAGGGTCTTCATCAGGTAATAATTAATTTGGTAGAAACACCTGATAAATGATCACCTGAACTAGACCTCTGGTCAAAATGTTGTAATTCATAAAACCTTTTTGAGTGCGGGAATATTAATGAAGTCAAAAGTTTATATCGCAGATAAAGAATAATGTCAATCCGTGGGTTAATGTTTAAGACAAAGTTGAAATTGTGGCCTTGTATCAGTAATGTTTTTCTGTCTTATCGTAACATGTTTCTTAAAACATTTTCTTTTGTTTTTTCTGTTTTAATCGGCTCTTTCCCTAACCCCGCTCCACTAACCCCCCCCCCAAAGGATGATTCATTGGAAATCTTTTCTTTCCATGGGAGGACTTTGGAGCCTTGTGTTTGTAAGAACCAGAATAACACACACACATATATATATATATATATAAATTGTGATATGTGGTAAAATCTGGACTTTTTTTTTTTTTTTTTTAATTTCTTGAACTTTTTCGGCTACAGCCCTTGTGTTCCTGTGGTTTACATCCTCCCCCATCTCTTACTTTCCACAGAGTGGCCGGTTGGCCCTAGGTATGTGTCTCCCTGAACTTGCTCCTCTTTATCTGTACTTTTGCTCTACCCTGAAACTACATAGTGCACTTTAAAACACAAGTTTACAGCTTGACATGCGGGAAAGGAGCCACTGGTGGGGTTTGAAACCGTGCCGCCCGCTTGGAGGACTATAGTTGTCATTTGTTGTTTTTTTATTAGAAGAAAAAAATCGATTAAAATCTTTCATCGAGTTAGGTGTGAAATAACTGGAGATTTTATTTGTAGGTCATATCTCCCAGCCCTGACTTGGATCTGAAAGGATAAACGTTTCTCACGTTTTGGCATCGGGTCTGGATTTTTGAGGTCAGATTTGGCCATTTGACTCGTCTGAGCTGACAGGGTTGTATGCAACAAAACCATTTTAAAGTCATAAGCAAACCAAAACAAAATAAACCAAGATGATATATTAATGCTGTCATTTCCTTATTATGTATGCATAGTGAAGATAACTTCCTGTATCTGTTCAAGGTCATCTCTGGAACTCTCTATCAAGGCTTCTCCTGTTTGTTGACTGTTTTCTTTCTTAATTAAAAAAATTAAAAGATGCAACAACTAGAGATGACGCATAATCATTGCACCCTCCGAGCAAAAGTAAACAACAAATCAGGAATGCCAGTCGATGTATATGGAGTCACATGGGCAGCATATTTCATCAATAACAGAGAAGTCACTAATAATAAGATTTGATTAACCATTACCCAAATAAGATATAGACAAGATACAGTATAGCTCTCATCTCAGAAAACTTTACTCATTGTTTCTATAACCAAATCCTCCATGCTTTTATTAAGGTCAGGTGTCTATACGAGACAGGACTTGCACAATAAAACAACAAAACCAAAATGGATATAAATTGTATGTATGCTATGAAAATCTCAATTACAGATAACTTTTCTGACGTTTGTCCATGAGTCAGTGCATCTACGCCAACCTGCTGCACTGAGAGAGAGAGAGTGCCCAATGTCAGAGTAATCTTTAATGACTGCTTTGCAAGTTATACAATTCTATAACAACAGAAATGTTTAAAATATTGTCATGTACCTTAAAATGTTATCAGTAGGTGTTATAAGACCAAACAGTTCTGGGGACTTTTTGAAGAAGGAAGGGCCCAGTTTAAACGTTTCGTTTACAAACTGCAACCAACATTTCTATTGACTCCACCTTAAGCTCATCCTGTGTACTGGATCAAGAGTTGTACCTGTCCAAAAAGTGCTCTTCTATTCCAGTAATATGGGAAAAATAATAATGGAGCTACAAAACTAGAATGGTAAAGACAGACATAACCAACGCTGAATAATATTGACCATATGTCAGGGATAAGGTGCTTCAGATATCACTTAACATAAGATACCAAACATGCAAGATCTTTTTAAGTGTCAATAAACATTGATCCCAGATGACTTCTTACTGACAGCCAGCAATTTCAGTTTGAAAGATTCCACAATGGGGAACATGCTTTTGAAAAAGGAATCAAAGAAACATTGTTTTGACTCCAGAGCGCCTCCTGAGTTCAAAGAAGTTCTTTACATGTTCGGATTAGATTTGATAGACAGTTTTATGAGATCCTGTGGGTGTCAAGAAATCTAATAAAAGACGTCAAACAAACTCCAACAGTTGAATTTGGAGATGGACACACACCAAGTGCAATCCACTTCAGGTACCTTTAAATGAATGAGAAACCTCCGTCACGGTTTAATGTTTGTGTATTTGTTAAAGCAATCTGTCTGCATTAATGGATGATAAGTTTAATGTTACGTACATTACGTTTAATGGGTATGTGGAAGTTCAAAATTACAGATATCTTTATTTCTTTATCATGATAACAGTATATTTTCTAATAATCTTTTATAATTCTACTATAGTGTACCTCATCTGGAAACATAAGAATCTGCATGAGCCCATGTACATTTTTATTGCAGCTTTGCTGATCAACTCTGTTATTCTCAGCAGCGCTGTGTATCCAAAATACTTGATTGACTTTTTATCAGACAGACAGATCATATCTTATTCAGCCTGTCTCTTTCAATTTTTTACATTTTACGCCATAAGCAGTTCAGAGTTTTCACTGTTGTCAGTCATGGCTTATGATAGATATGTGTCTATTTGCAATCCTCTGCAATATCCCTCGATAATGAGGAAAAACACGGTGTGCATTTTCTTGCTTTTAGCTTGGCTTGTGCCAGCTTGTCACATTGCTATCCCAGCCATACTGAGTGCTAAAAGTAAATTGTGCAGCTTTACCTTAAAAGCCATATTTTGTAACAACACGATTTACAGACTTCAATGTGTCAGTTCAAGAGTAATTACAATATATGGCGTGGTTGCTTTAGTCGACCTTGCAGTTCTCCCTTTGCTCTTCATAATATTTACCTACGCCAAGATACTTTTTATAACCTATCGAAGTTGTAAAGAAGTGAAGAAGAAAACTGCAGAAACCTGTTTACCCCATCTGTTAGTTTTAATTAGTTACTCCTGTCTGTGTGCGTATGATATCAGTATAGCACGAGTGGAGTCTAATTTTCCAAAAACTGCACGCTTCATCATGATGTTACAAACAGTTTTTTATTATCCTTTGTTAAACCCTCTCATATACGGGCTCAAAATGAAAGAGATTTCCAAACACCTCAAGAAGTTGTTTCTTCCAGCCAAAACACCTCTTTTTATGAATACTGATCACTAATGCACGGCTGTTTTTTCAGCCATGTTCTTGGAGAAATGTGACTTCTTTAAAGGTATTACATTATGTATTTATTGATTTATTAGCTCTAACAATGTGCTGGAGAATAAATGAGCTAACGTTATTCAAAAAATATATTTATATTAAACAATATTAAGCTTTCATTACCTCCAGACTTTCTCTCTGTGTTTCACTCTTACAGTTGTGAATTCATTAAGAACCTGTGTTTCTTGTTAAACATTTACTCTTGGTATATTTATAAAGTTAGAAAAGGGTGAGTCATAATGTAGGTGCAGGGTAATACAAACAGCAGAGAGAAGAAGAAACGCTCGCACAAAAAGCTTTTAATGAAAACGTTTCAACCAGAGGTCTTCATCAGGTAATAATTAATTTGGTAGAAACACCTGATAAATGATCACCTGAACTAGACCTCTGGTCAAAATGTTGTAATTCATAAAACCTTTTTGAGTGCGGGAATATTAATGAAGTCAAAAGTTTATATCGCAGATAAAGAATGATGTCAATCCGTGGGTTAATGTTTAAGACAAAGTTGAAATTGTGGCCTTGTATCAGTAATGTTTTTCTGTCTTATCGTAACATGTTTCTTAAAACATTTTCTTTTGTTTTTTCTGTTTTAATCGGCTCTTTCCCTAACCCCGCTCCACTAACCCCCCCCCCCCAAGGATGATTCATTGGAAATCTTTTCTTTCCATGGGAGGACTTTGGAGCCTTGTGTTTGTAAGAACCAGAATAACACACACATATATATATATATATATATATATATATATATATATATATAAATTGTGATATGTGGTAAAATCTGGACTTTTTTTTTTTTTTTTTAATTTTCTTGAACTTTTTCGGCTACAGCCCTTGTGTTCCTGTGGTTTACATCCTCCCCCATCTCTTACTTTCCAGAGTGGCCGGTTGGCCCTAGGTATGTGTCTCCCTGAACTTGCTCCTCTTTATCTGTACTTTTGCTCTACCCTGAAACTACATAGTGCACTTTAAAACACAAGTTTACAGCTTGACATGCGGGAAAGGAGCCACTGGTGGGGTTTGAAACCGTGCCGCTCGCTTGGAGGACTATAGTTGTCATTTGTTGTTTTTTTATTAGAAGAAAAAAATCGATTAAAATCTTTAATCGAGTTAGGTGTGAAATAACTGGAGATTTTATTTGTAGGTCATATCTCCCAGCCCTGACTTGGATCTGAAAGGATAAACGTTTCTCACGTTTTGGCATCGGGTCTGGATTTTTGAGGTCAGATTTGGCCTTTTGACTCGTCTGAGCTGACAGGGTTGTATGCAACAAAACCATTTTAAAGTCATAAGCAAACCAAAACAAAATAAACCAAGATGATATATTAATGCTGTCATTT